CTATGTGGGAGTCCAGTGCCTTAACCACCAGGCCACCTGCCAGCCCGACAGTTGCTTTTTAATGAATGGTTTCAGTTTGCCTATTCTGTTCACATAATACACACAGACACATCATCATCTACATACATAGTCTGGGTGTTATCTATTTCAATATTTTTACATATGATCATTCACAGTAACCAAGTGGTGAAGGAGTATGTGTGTGTGGTTTGTTTTTTGGCCTCCTGCTTCTGCTGGCTCAGTGCCTCAGGACTTCGGTGTCCTTGGTCTCAGACACCACCTTCCTGCCCACTCGCCTGCAGATGGTGATCTTCTGGATGGTCTGTATGGAGTTGGGGCTGTCCAGGCATCACCGAGACTGAAGTTCTCCCCATCTTCCAAAAGGTGGCGCTAGGTGGCGATCGCAGCCTCCAGCTTGAAATTGGTGTTCAGCCGGGCATCATACTCCTGGGCCTGGCGGGCGCTGCCCCTCTGCCTGGTCTGTGCCAGCGCTGATTCCAGGTGCAGCAGGACTCCACCTGCGGGTCTGCACCTCCCCAGGCCCTCTCCGAGCTGGCCTTCAGACTTCTCATCCAGTCCAGGTCATCTCCAAGGGCAGGCCGTGCGTCTCAGCTCCGTGAGCGTCCATTCTGTAGCTCCAACTTCAGTGGACCACGAGGTGGCCACTGTGGGGCTCTCCTCAGCCTGTGGGGCTGGTATTTCTCCAGCACCTCTCGCATCATACCGGTCCCGGATGTCTGCCATGATCTTGCTGAGGTCTAGAGACCACACTCAATCAAGCTGGCAATCTGGGCGTGTAGGCCTTTTACTTCCTCCTCCTGGTTCTTCATGAAGAGCAACTGCTCCATGAGAGCCTCCATCTCTGTCTCTAGCTGCAGCCAAGTGACACTGGTGTCACCTATGACCTTGCGGAGTCCGTGGATGTCACTCTCCGCAAACTGACACGTGGCCAGGTCTGTGTCTTCCTCGACTAGGACGCCATCAGCGGCAGGACAGCCATCGTCTATGGGCACACTGGTGTGGGCATTGTCCTGTCTCTAACCTGGGGCCCCTTCTCCAGGTGTTCTCAGATCATGCTGTCTAGTCTCTGGTTTATTCTTTTTTTTTTTTTGGAGGGGTTTTTGCTATAGGGCATGTGCACTTGCCAGACAGAGACAGACAGAAAGCGAGAAATCACCCCCCACGGGGGATGGCCACGCCACAATCCCTTCTCCTCCATTCTCCTCTCGGGATCTTGGACACGCATGCACATGTGCCTGGTGTGAGTTTAAGCCACCGGGTCTGAGACTTGAACCTCAGTCGACTATGTGGGAGTCCAGCAACATAGCCATTATGCCAACTGCTGGTCCACATCCACCTGATTCTAACTGTATCCCTACATCTAAGTTGTGATAAACAGAAATGTCTACTGGACAAAAAATGCCCTTAGTTGAGAAATGCTGTTTTATTTATTTTTGAAGAATGATTTAATTCTATTTGTTACTATTATTTTCCAATTTGACTTGAGAGAGAGAAAGGGAAAGAAAGCCGTCAGGTCCTGGACCCTGAACTGCGGTTGGCCACATGGGAATCCAGCACCCCTAACCACACCACCTGCTGGCCTCCGAGAATGGCTGCTTTAGGAGGACTGAGAACAGGTGTGCTTCTTCATTAAAGTAATTCAAGTCTGAGTCTCTAACCTATGCTTTGAAAATTCACCCAGCCCATGACTGAGCTAGTAAGGGAGCTGAATGCCACAAGGCTAACTAAGCATGCGGTTGGAGTCCTAGACCAAGTGGCTTGAAGAACCAGTTGGACACACATGTGCGTGTGCAGCAGAAGAGCAAGTGGCTCCCGTGGGGCAAGTCCTGGGTTTGCATCCTAGGACTCCCCCTGAGCATGGTGGGAGTGCTCGTACCTGTGTTCCAGGCCAGCCAAGAGAGGAGGTGGCTTATGATGTGAGTTGGCGGTAGCCTTTTCCCTTATGGAAGAAATAAGTGAACGTATAAAAAAGTGACCTCTTAGAAGGATAAAGAAAAGGTATTGCTAAAAATGTGCATAGAATAAAAGCATTCAAAATACCAGCTGGCTGGCGGGAAGACGATGCTGGAGCGTGGTGCTCTGTGAGGTAGACGCACATGGACAGGTGGCTGGCTCACGCCTGCAGATCTCGTGCTCACGTTCTTGGCTGGCTTCCGCTGGTGGTGAACTGCAGCGTCGAGACCTCGTTGGGGGTGTGGTATCTCCGTCTCTCTTACTCATGGAATAAACTTCAAACAAAAACCTCAAAAACGTTAGCTTTTTTTAATGTTGTTACTTTTTTTTATTTTTTGACCAGAGTGTATGTGCACATACCAGAAAAGGCAGTCCCAAAGAGCCCTAGGCACACTGCAGTCCTTTCCCCCCATGATGTCAGGATCCTGGCACGTGTGAACATGCCTGGCATATTTTTCAAGGTATCAGGGCACACAATTGGCCATGTGGGATCTGGTTCCCTCGGAGCAATGCGTAATCACTGTGCTAGGGACCAGCCCTATAATCCCATCAGTCTTCCTCCGGTTAACACTGAATTTTGCCTTACAGATTTCAGTATGAAATCAAACTCATTATCCTACCATTCCACAAAAAAGCCATTTAGATGATCTCAAGTGGCGATAGTAGAGATGATTTTTTTTCTTTGCCTTTTCATTATTTTCCAAATACTCTACAATGAAGATGGATAATTTTTTAACTTACACTTAAAAAAACAAAACAACTGTGCTCAGCAAGTGGTATGGAGATTAAGGCACAGGATCCCATAGGGTCAGCTGTGTGGTTCAAGGATTGGACCCAGCAGCTTGAAAATCATGTTGGTGTGTGTGCATGCATGTCCAAGATCCCAAGAGGAGATCACAAGAGAAGCCACTGTGGTGCGGTCTCCCTTAGGGGTGATTTCTCACTCCCTCTCTCTGGAAAGCGTATACACCTTAGAGCAAAAACTAAACACAAAACCAACACACAAAACCTTTCTTTTACATAGTTATACAATTGTAGAATTGCAATGGAATAAACTAAAACAATAAGAAAGCAAAAACATAAAAGATTAAAAAAAACCCTCATGTATTACATGTTAATCGTTTCTATTTACTGTAAATGTTACTCTATATTTACAATTATAAGATATACCAGAATTTACACATAGATCTGGCATGGTAATCAGATACTAGTCTTTTACTGTAAGACATAACTTAATGGTGAAAAGCAATTTTGAATAAAAGTTCTAAGAATAAAATACACAAACACAGCAGATTACTTTCAAATCCAAAGCTTCAGGTTCAAATCATTTTCTTACACGAAAATGTCAGAAGTCGTATAGATTTTGAAACCTCAAATAAATAAACTTTTTTTTTTAAGAGGTTTTTGCTAAAAGGCACGTGTGCTTGCCAGACAGAGAGAGAGAGAGACAGAAAGTGAGAAATCACCCCCCCCCCCCGGGGGGGGATGGCCACGCTGCAGTCCCTTCTCCTCCATTCTCCTCTCGGGATCTTGGGCACGCACGCACACGCACCCGGAGTGAGTTTTAAGCCACCGGGTCCGGGACGCAAACCGCAGTCGACTATGTGGGAGTCCAGCGACATAGCCATTACGCTAACTGCTGGTCCCAATAAACATGTTTTATAATCTGGACTCATATGCTTTTAATGAGTTCTGAGGACTGTAGCAAATGAATGATACTGAAAATTAGTTTGGGAGAGAAAAGCAGGAGGAAAAAAATGTGAACAGTAGTTTTTATGACCATTCTTTAATAGCTGACACCTAAGTATATTTCTGGAATGAACAAATTAAGGGTATGTTGCATATAATGATTTGAATAATTAAGAATTTTCTCATATTCTTAGCAATTGAAATGACTGAATTTCAAACATTAGTTTTTTCCCATGTTTTTACATATTAATTTTTATTTAGACACGTTCAACCATACGTTCCTGATACGTAGTTCACTCATTTCTTGAGTGCCTGCTCTTAGATGCCAGGCATTTGATCTAAATTTTCAATTAGAGTTAGGATTCAGCTTAAGTCACTCTACTTAGTTGTCAACAGTAGTTAAAGCACTATCTTAAAGTAAGAGATCAGAATTAAATCAATATTTTGATTCAAAATTCTTACAAAACATACCAAAGGTCATGGTACATAAAACACTACTGAGTTCAGTGTTTAATAAAATGACTTTCTTCTTAAAGATAAACTGTGGTACATACCTGCGTATATAGCTATATACATTTGATCATGGTTGCTACTCCTGATGAATCTTTTCTTTTCAGACAAACTTACAAAATTCAAAAGAACACCGTTGATACAAGATGTTTCAAAGTTAAAAAAACAAACCACACACAATCTAGATATAAGTGACTTGTTACACAACGAGACAGAAAAAGAGCTGATATACATTAATTTTTTTCAAGTAATGTTATGTACAGTTTTATTGCCAGTATATGCACAACAGTAAGCATAGAACTATAAATACACAATGTAATTAACAGTAGAAAACAAAATTGTTATCGGTAGGGGGGAGAGGATATAGAGAAACTATTTTCCTGCTGCTGGAACAGAAACAAAGGAAGGGAAAAGCCTATGACAAATCATCCATCCAGTACTCTCGTCTTAAATTCTTTACATACATTTCTACAGTTTTTTTCAATTAAACAAAAAAAGTACAGATAACTCTGCAACAACAGCAAATTGCTTCCCTACTAGCTATTTGCCTTTCCAGTCAAATTCACTTTATGTTAGGATTAAAAAAAAACAAAAACAAAAACAGTCAGGATGAGAAATCATTAGTATCCTGGTTCCAAATGATCTACTTTTGCCTTTCACCAAAACTGGTAGTTTTTGAAGTTGGCTGCACACGAAAATAATAGGTGTAGCAAAAGGTGATTAAAAAAAAAATCTTGTTAAAAACGTAACAGAAAATCACCCTTGAAGTAGTTTTCCAAAAGACACTACAGGCAGCAGCTCAGTTAAAAGTATTAGCCCTGAAGAGGTAGAGAATTTGAGTCCATTCTACAAGATAGCCTTGGCACCATCTTCTCGCTCATCAGGATCAATGTTTTCAAGTAAGACAATTTCACGGTAAAAGGAAACCAGGTTCCACCGTTTCAAGAAAAGGTGCCGGTCAATTCCCATGTCTCAATAATTAGTTTTTAAATTTTTTTTTAATTATTAAATGAGAAACAGAAGACGGTCAAGGACATACATGCACTTGATTTTTTTTTGTCTGTTTCCATTATCAAGTTTGTTCATAAGTGAATTTGATATTAATAAATATTAAAAAAAAAAGCATCATTCACAACAAAGATAAACCAAAAAACCCTGCCATGAAACCTTCTATTTATCAACAACAAAAAAAAACACAGGCATATGATTTGGTGCAGCTTTCTTAAGGAATCATAGAAGGGACATGGTTTTAAATAAAGATGGCAAGATCAATAACCAACAAACAATATCAGATTTACAGAACTGGCTGATTCTGTAACATTGCTCTTAGAGGCGTTAGTTTCAAACTACAGGTCACCTCAAAGAAGTCGCAACTAATGACATGTACCACCATCACATCAACAGCGTTCAGCGAAGTTCAAATTAGTCCTGCTTTGTTTCACATCATTTCAGTATTTCTAGCATAGGACATGATACAGAACAAAACTGAAAGGAGCAGTAAAAATATTATTCTGCAGTTGAATAAAGGCAAAGAAAATGTTTTAGACCGTTGAACTTTTAAAGCTTTAAGCATTCCTGTTTAACCAGCATTTAAAAAAATTTATACAATCATAACACTGGCAAAGGTTAATGGGAAGACAAAGAAGTACAAACATGTGAAATGATGACTTAGATTAAAAAGTACTCGTATTGATCAATTCATGTTAATACTGCTTCTCCTTGAATTTGGAATAACTATCATAAAAGTCACATGCAGACTGAGGAGAGCCCTCTGTTACAGAAAATACGAAACAAAACAAAATGAAAACGAAAACTGGGAAACAATGGTTAAGTTCCAAAAGATGGATTTGAGAATTTCCTTTCATTGATGAGGGTGGTCTATCTGTCCTTTCCATGAGACCTGGTTCACTTCATGAGCATCACTAACTTTGTCCAGAAACATCAGTAGTGGGGTCAGCTCCTCCAGAACCTGTCTGTGCCCGTTTGATGTAAAGATTCAGTAGCTTCATCTGCAGATTCAAGCCAAACACATGTCATTGAACCGGCTGCTCCAAATGATAAGATGCTTCTTAAAAAATCATATATATATATGTGAACGTTGAAAAATAATTTTTAGTCTGTGGGTTATTATTATTTTTTTAATTAAAAAAAAACTTTGGGGGCAAGCAGGTGGCATGGTGGTTAAGGGCAATGGACTCCCACATGGCTGACCGCGGTTCTAGTCCCAGATCTGGCAGCTCGCTTTCTCACTTTCCCTCTCACTCTGTCACTCTCTGGTCAAATTAAAATAGGCAAATAACTAAATAAGTAAAGTTAAATAATTCTTTAAAATATTAAACAACTTTTCTTTATTCATGATGAAGTGTGTGTGTGCACACGAGTTGGAAGTGGTTGAGAGGGAAGGGGAGGGAAAGGGTCATTCTCACAGAGCCTGGTCATGCCACGATCCCCTTCCTCTGCCCTCCAGCTCATCCGATCTTAGGCACGTGTGTGTGCGTGCCCAGTGGGTCTCAAGCAGACCTGCTTGAGGAGTTCAAACCACAGCTGCCATGTGGGGTCCAGCTTCTCCTGAGCAGCCTGTTTCTGCTGAGCCGGGGAGCCAGCCCACAGACTGTGGTTATAATGCCTGAATTACTGTTGGTAATTAAGGATAACAAAACGTTTTAAGTCTTAGTGTATTCTATCATGTAGTGATAACATAGAACGAAACTAAATGTCAGCTTACTTTATTAAATTTACTAAAATAACCAAGAAATCATCTGAGCACTACGTGCTACACAATGTAATAATCGCTTTGTAGTCTCTCTTTATTTTTATAATTTATGGATGAAGAAATCATGAAACAGAATGGTTGAGTCACTGCTTAAGGCCATGGGGTGGTAAGAAGTGGGCCAGGAGAAGAATCTGGGCACGTGCATTCCCGGACACAGACCCTCTCCAGGGTGCTCTTGGTTTCTTCGTGTTATTTTGCAGTATTTACCTGTATGAGATCATGTTATTTTATGAAGCTGGTAATCAATGGGGTAATCAACAAGGGGGCCTCAAAAAGTTTATGGAAAGTGTGTATAATGGGCCAGCCCTGCAGCCTGGTGGTTGAGAGAGCTAGATCCCACACAGCTGACAGTGGTTTGAATCCTGGCCCTGGCGGCTTGAAAGATACACTCGGCATGTGGGCATGCATGGTTCATATCCTAACAGAATGGAAGAATGGAGAAGGGATTGCAGGGTGACCACGCCTCATTGGGGATTGCCCCCCCCCCCCGTGAGCGCACTCATTAACAATTAAAAAAGGAGAAAATGTGTATCATGAAAATATTGCACATGGATTTCAAAAAATGTTTTACACAAAAATAAACTCATACTTTAATTTCATTTTTACACAAACTTTTTGAAGTACCTTCAAACAATTCTGTGCCCTACTTTTTCACTTAATGTTACTGGGTCATTGGAAAAGTCATGATGTGCTTTTCTAGGCAAAAATGTGTCATGAGTTTTCTAATGACCCAATATTTCAAAATGTTTTCCCACTGATCTGTCTTCATATGTAACATTATTATATAATGCCAGTAACATTAATACTGGCTGCCTAGTATTAAATGAATATTAACTGCACTTTTTTTTAAACTTTTTTTTTTTTTAAATTTCCCATAGGGCATGTGTGCTTGATGGAGAGAGAGAGAAAGAGGGAAAGTGAGACTCGCCCCCCATGGGGAATGGCTACACTGCAATCCCTTCTCCTCCAATTTTTCCTCCTTTAAGGATTTTGGACATGCACGTATTGTGCATGGCATGCTTTTCAAGGTGCTGGGTCTGAGGCTCCTGCAGTTGGCCAGGTAGGACCCAGCCACCTTAACTACCATACCACCAAGTTGGTCTGCTGGTCCCAGAAATTTTTAAAATCGTATTTATGGGGCCAGCTGGTGGTATGGTGGTTGGGGGCGTTGGACTCCCACATGACCAACCAAGGTTTAATTCCTGGACCTGGTAGCTTGCTTTCTCACTCTCTCTCTCTCTCTGGTCAAATAAAGAAGGAAAGAAGGAAAGCTTCATGCCATGGGTTGGCCTTATTTTTATTTTATTTTTTTTAACTACCAGAGTGCATGCACGAGAGAGAGAGAGAGAGAGAGAAAGAGAGAAAAAGAGCGAGCTAGCGAGCACCCTCCAGGGGAATCGTCATATTGTAAAACCTTCTCCTCTACCTTTCCAGTCTCTCAGGACTTTAGGCCCACACACACATGTGCCTGGCATGGTTTTTAAGCTGCCAAGGCCAGACTCAAGCCATAGTTAGCCATGTGGGACCCATCCCCCTTAATCACTAGGCTATGGGGATAGATCAAGACTTTTAATTTATTCATTATATTTTTAATTTATATTATTTATTTATCTATCACTTATTTGTTTGGAGAGGTTTGTGCTATAGGGTGCGTGTGCTTGCCAGAAAGACAGAGACAGAAAGCAAGAAATCACTCCCCTGGGGGGATAGCCACGCCACAATCCCTTCTCCTCCATTCTCCTCTAGGGATCTTGGGCACGCACACACACATGCCTGGCATGAGTTTAAGCCACTAGGTCTGGGACTTGAACTGTGGTTGACTACATGGGAGTCCAGTGACGTAGCCATCATGCCAAATGCTGATCCCAATCAAGAGACTTTTGAAGACTAATCAGAAAATTTTACTTTAACATGCCAAGTCAAAATCGCACATTAATCTGTACCATAACAAGAATAGAAAGAATAAATATTTTATTATCATCATTCTTTATTTTTATTTTATTTTTTGGCAAGAGGGAACATGTGCTCGCCAGGGAGAGACATACAGAGAGAGACAGA